TTTTGGTTTTATTTTTAATTAATTTTATTTTTCGGGGGGGAGGGAGGGAGGGGAGTAGAACCTAGCGTGCTGCTGCGTGGTCAGAAAGTGCACTAATAAACGAAAATTGGGAAAAAAATGGGAAAAAAGCAAAAAAAAACCCAACCCACCAACACCCTTCCCCCCCCCCCTGCCCCCCCCATGCCCCTGACCCCCTGTCCGTGCTGTGCTTGCTGCTGCGGTGTTGTGAAATAAACGCCAGTGCTGTGTCGAACGCTCCATGCCCATTCCTGGCCCTTCCAGCCCCCTACCTAGGGCTCTGTCCCCAGATATGCCCCGCTTGGGGGGCCACCACGTCCCGCTGACCCCAGCCACCACCAGGGACTCCATGGCTCAGAAGAGGGCTTTTATGGAAGCACTCCAATTCTGGGGGAGGGGTCACAGCTTGCTGGGGGGCCGCTGCTGCAGCCGCCATGCTGCCTGTGCCCCCTTGCTGGCAGCATTGAGTGGGGCGAAGGCAGCAGGGTTCCCGCTGCAGCGATAGCGGGCAAGAGGTGTGCGCAGCAAGGAGATGGGGATGCAGAAGTTGAGGTGTGGGTAGGTGGTCCCTGCGGCATTGTCCCGCACGTTGCTGGCCACGATGCCTGGAGAAGGGAGATGTCACCAAAGGCATTAACGCAATGGGGACACTTTGGGGATGCAGTGGGGACAGGGGCTCACCTAGCAGGCATCCGTCGCGAGCAGAGAGCAGGGGGCCGCCACTGGAGCCAGCATGCACGGCGCAGGTGCTCTGCAGCATCACCGGGGGGGTTCCCACCACGGCCGACAGCACACCCCCTGTCACTGAGGGGCCACACGCACGGCCTAGCGCCCCAAAGCCCAGCGCCAGCACTGCCTCCCCTGCACCACACCATCGGCGTTAGGACATTCCATCACACCTCTAATGGCACCCCTACACAGGACCCCACTGTCCCCATAGGATGCCACTGTCCCAGCCCCATTCCTCCATGGCATCCCACTGTGCCCTGTACCCCCCCAACCTGAAGCTGGCACTCACCGGGTTGGAAAGTGGTGGCAAGGTCAGGGGGCTGGAAGCTGGGCACGCTGTCCTGCAGCTCCAGCACTGCCACGTCAAAGGGGGACGCCTCAGTCGTGGCAAACACCAGGCGGGCCTGCAGGATAGTGTCACTGTGGGTGCAAAATGGGGATAAAATAAAATAGCAAAAAGCAGGGTTAGGGGTGAGCCATCCCATGGACGTGGCCATGGGGATGCTGAACAGTCTGGTCTGCAAAAATGCAAGTTGCACCCTGCACTTCATCTTACATTGCTTCCAAACCTGGATGTGGCCAAAGGGAAGAAGCTCTTCGCTGCAGTGGCCCAGCTCTTTACATTTATTGCATGACCTATTTTGGGTTGCATCCTCAGCGCACGGCCTATTTCAGATCACGTGGCCCATGCTGAGTTGCATGACCTTTGCTGGGCTGCAGACCCATGTTAGGTTGCAAAACCATTGCATGGCACAGCCCATGTTGGGTTGCACAACCACGTTGGGTTGCACACCCATAACATGGCCCATGCTGAGTTGCATGACCCATGCTGGGTTGCACAGCTATTTTGGATTACACACCCTGTGCACGATCCATGTTGGGTTGCACAACTACACTGGCTTGCATACCCATAGCATGGCTTATGTTGGGTTGCACACTCATTGCACAGCCTACGTTGGGTTACACACCCACCGCATGGCTCACATCACGATACCCAACCATGTTGGGTTGCACACCCATTGCATGGCCCATGTTGGGTGGCATGCGCATCGCATGGTCCATTCTGGGTTTCACAACCGATGTTGGGTTGCACGACCAACGCTTGGTTACACGCCCATTGCGAGACTCATGTTGGGTTTCACCACCACATCGGGTTGCACACCCATCACACGTTGCCCACCCCCAGCCCCCATCATCCCATGGGGCCACACTCACCATGTGGTGCTGTGCCGCAGGGTGATGCGCAGCGGGGCGCCCCGTTGCAGCACATGCCGGCAGGTGAGCAGCAGCCGCGGGGCCACCAGCGTGCCCGACCCCCAGCTGCTCCCACTCTCTACCAGCACGGCGCAGCACAGTGCTGGGGCGCCGTGGGCCTCGGGCAGCGGCAGTGGCGGAGGCAGGCTGCCGAGCTCGGGCAGCACTCCGCGGGCACTCTGCAGGAGGGCGTGCAGGGAGCAGAGCAGCGCCAGCCCCAGCCCCTGGACGCCCTGGCAGCCGGCAGTGGCAGCAACGACGGCCACGAGGCGCGGCGGGGAAGATGCGGGCGAGAGGGCGAGGACGGGCCCACCCTGAGTGCCGGGCAGGCAGCGTGCATCGGTGAGCAGCAGGGCGCGGTGAGGCCCGGCGGCATTGCTCAGCACACCGGTGCTCAGCGCATTGAGGAAGAGCTCGGGGCAGAGCGCACCGAAGGGCGTCCCGCAGGTCAGCAGCGCCGCGCCCTTGTGCAGCGTGGCTGCCGGGGCCCAGGGCGTCCAGGTACCGCCAGGTGTGTCCAGGCCGGGCACCCGCAGCCAGCAGAACCAGGGCAGGGCCTCGGTGCTCTCCTCGGCCATGCTGAGCATGCCAGGCAGTGCGCGGGCGAAGGCATCGCAGCGCAGCAGGACCAGCGGGCACGCGACGTGCTGCTGCACGGTGTCAGGTGGTGGGGCAGCCTGCAGCACCGAGATGTGCAGCCCGGGCCGCAACGCCGAGGGTGGCAGGGCATCGCCATGGGGCCAGGCGGTGACGTCGGGCTGCAGGAAGGGCACCAAGATGGCAGCAGGGCACAGCACCAGGCCCGGGCTGCGGCACAGGATGGCCCCGCTGCAACTGCTTGGCTCCACGTCCGGCTCCGAGGGGTCCGACACACTGACCACGCAGCCGGGCAGCTCCCATGGTACCGCGGTGCCGTCCTCAGCCATCTGCAGAGCAACGCAGCACGGAGCAACGCGATGGAGAGCGAAGCGACGCGGAGCAACTCAACGCAGAGCGACGCAGATCAACGCAACACGCCGGAACTCAACCAACGCAGAGCAACCGGAGGCAAAGCAAAGCACAGCGACGCGCCGCCCCACCGCCACCATGGCCGCACAGCGCCGCACAGCTCCGCACCGCCCTGCTCGCTCATAGGCCACCGGCAGCTCCGCGACCCGACCCCATTGGTGAGGGCGGGGCTGAGCCTGGCGACGTGGCGAGAGGCCGGGCGCGGGCGGGGCGTTGCACCACTATAGGCGGCGCTGCACGGGGTTGCGCCACGCGAAGCGGCAGGGAGCGCCCACGCTGCTTTTTCTGTGTCTCCACCTGCAGGATCGAACGCAGAAGTTAAAACTCTGCCCCCGTCGCACAACGTTCAACTCCTGGAAGAGCAGAAAGTGGTGACTGCTGACGAGTAGCAGGGGCAGGAGGTGCCCGCAGCCAGCTGCACTCGTGCACCTCCACGAAGCCAGTGGGTGAAACACCTGCTGGGCACTGCCACCCGGAGAGCAGAAAGACACGTCTTTATTGAACGCAACGTGAGCTAGACAGCAAGGAAACTTCGACAAAAAACCCACTGAGTAGAAAAGAAACCGCTGCGGCCTACACTAACAACCTTATGATATGCCAGCGTCCAACGCTTCCATGCTGCAGCCGCTGCCGGCGGCCCCGTGGTCCCACAGCGGCGCTCCGAAGGCAGGCAGTGCTGCAGCCCTGTGCCACACGTGCTGTCCCAGACCCTCGCTGTGTCGGCGTGGCACCGTGTGGGCATCGCATGGAGTGCTGGAGCCGGCTGCTGCTCATCGAGGACTTCCATATCATGATGCTGTGTTTGGTAATTTTGCAAAAAGTCTAAATATGTTTTTAAAAAACCCTACAGAGACTCTGGACTAAACAAGATGAACGTTAAAACTAAAGAGTTAGAAGGGACGCCGTTTACATTAACACTTTCTTTAAAAAATAGAATTGCTTTCTCGTTGTTCTTGAAGTCAGCTGGCCACAGTGGTGAGACGCGCTCCTTCCAGCGGCACGGAGCGGTGCCACGTCCTGATCCCGCCGGCCGCGTCACTGCTGGAACCGCGGCACCCGAGGGACGGAGCCACGCGGCGTCCCCGCAGCATAGAAAGGAGTTGTGTCACCACTGTGCAAGGATGGGCGCTCACCAGGTCCCATGGTCGCGCCGCTCTGGGGTTGGGAAGCCTTCTGTGTCCCGACAGGACAGTCCATAGGGAGCTGCGAGCAGGATCAGTCCGGGGTCGCGCTCTGCATCAGTCAATGTACTGCGACAGCCAGCGGAAGCCCTCGCCGTAGCCTTGCCTCTTCAGCACGCTGCACATGAACACCTCCATGGGGCGCGCGTTCAGGTCTTTCAGTGGCACGTTTCCCTGAAGGCCCAGAGACAAATCAGGAGCACGGCCAGCCCGAGGCGATTCCCAAAGCCAGCGGCTGAGCAAGCACCCGGAGTTCTTTGCTGCTGTCACCCAGCACTTCTGATCAACTCTAATTTTTAGAACTGACAATGGGGTGAGGCAGTAAGCTGAACAAAATTTGGGAGTAATAAAACCAGAAGAGCCTGACAATGTGTTCAACCGTTGTCAAACTCCAGCGCAGCACCTTATTTCCAACTAGGGGTGCTGTGTTTGCACAACTCGGGATGTTTCAAAACTCGCCCGAGGGCATCACTGTTATTAAAGGTTCAGCCCAGGCAAACGTTTAGGACAAATCCACAGGAACAAACCACTTGGCTTCCAGAGGGCACCTCCCTCTGCAAGGAACATGTACTTGTAAGTGCCCGGACCGCGTGCCTCCCTACCTTCCCCGTGGTCTGTCCGTAAAGCCCGAAGATCTCCCGCAGTTTCTCCTCACTGATGGCCTCGGGTCTGTCGATTTTGTTGCCCAAGATAAGGATTGGCACATTGGATATTGTTTCATCTGTCATTAGTGCCTGCGTGCAAGACATCTTTAAGTTACACAGAGGCAGAACAAACATCTGTCATCTGAGGAAAGCTTTGTTTCGGTAAGCTCTGTGACCGACAAGGGTTATTCCTTGGTGCTACAGCTCCCGTGGGAGGGGTCTTCCCAGAAGGGCTTTGCAGGACGCATGAGCCATTTCCAGAATTCATTAAAGTGTGCTCAGGAGCCTACAGTCACCCCACAGCAAGGGCGTCGAGGCTGCCCCGAGTCCCACCCCACCAAAAAAGGAACACTGTTTATAATTTAGCTAGTCAGAAGTGTCAGGGAAAGGAGAAAAAAGTGAAGTTTACATTAAGCTCAACTTTGGATTCCATAAGCCGGGAGTGATCTGCACAGTCCACCAGGAAGACGATCCCATTGATGGCAGGCAGGTAGTTCTTCCACACCCGGCGGGCTGGAAGGCAAGAGACCAACACCTCCCGTGAGAAAAGCTGGGCTGCTGTGCCCACAGCAGAGCCCCACTGCCCCCTCGGGATTTTGGGGCAGGTTGGGACAGCCAGCCAGCCGTCCTGCTCATGCTCTCCCCGCTTTCACAAGCAGTCAGATAATTGCTGGGTGACAGACGCTTGTCAGCAGGCAGCCAACTCTTGTGCACAGAGAGTCTGTCTATGCAATATTGACGAGCGCTGTTCCTGTTGCAGCAAAACCCCTGACTGTCAGCCTGCTTGTGTGTATTCAGAAAAACACAGAAAAACTTTTCTTAGGACTTCTAGAAAGGAAATCTGAAGATAAAAATGCAGTGAATATTCAGAAGAATAATCCTGTGACATACAAGCCTTCTACAACTAAAAATATTGCAGGCAGCAGAGCGTGAGCTGGCAGCTTTTTTTTTTTTTCCAAGCTGCCAAAATAAAGCACAAACATTTAGCCACTGAAACAACCAGTTTCTTAGAGCCAGGCCATTTCCACTAGTAGCTCAGTGTATGGTAACTGTTGAGTCATGGCCTGAACCACTGATTGATCACCTGGGAAAAGGACCCAGTCAGCCCTGGGAGCACAGGTGAAGGCAATTCAGCTGTGTGACCGGAAGGGGTGGAGCCTGGCTGCACCCCTCTTAGACCCCATTTAAAGACTGACTGCCACTAGGGAAGGATCTCTTTCTGGAGATCTCTCCTCTGTGGAGTTTTCCTCTGTGACCCTAGATCTTTAGAGACAGGTGAGTAGTCTTTTTTCCTTCCCTTATAATATCTTTCTATGGTGTTAGTCCCTCTATCGTTATACCACTTGTATCACCTTTCCAGTGTGTTGATCGTTCTGACTCCACCACCGCTTTCAAGCTACAAGCAGTTAGGTACTGCCAATTCCCTTCATCCTCCAGCACCTCATTTTGGGAGATTTTTCCAAAAGTGGCTGGGGAACACAATTGAAATCAGCAGACCCTCCTCAGTGAGCTGGCACTTACCTTGCTCGTGGCCACCTAGATCAAAAGTGGTGAAGGTCATTCCAGCGATTGTCAGCTCCTCTGAGGCTGGAAAGCAAGAACACAGAAAAAAGAAAGGAATTATTATAGCTAGTGGTTATTGGGGATGTGCACCAGCATCATGTGGCCCTTGTGTCAGATACCTGTTCCCTGATGAACTCAGCCACTGAAACTCTTCAATGATTTCATAAATGGGAGAAAATAACTTCCCTGCCTCTTACTTAGGGACGTGCTTATTAATCTGTGTTTCTTATCCCTTATCACACATCCAGGAGTTGGGCTCAATGATTCCTAGATTCCCTTCCAATTTGGGATGTTCTGGGATTTTTTTTATTTTTTTTTTTATCAGAAGCCCTCTCCCTCCCCAGGTGTGGTGTGTGATATTCACTAACCCACACCACTTCTTGGCCGCTATATTTGAAAGTAAAACACCGATTCACATTAGCCCCAGAGCAGAGCTGTCACCGGTGCACAGGGCAGACATACTGGGGTGCAGTGTGGGAACGTGCTGGCCCAGCCGGTCGTCCTTGAGCATGTGCAGCAGCGTGGTTTTGCCCGCATTATCCAGGCCCAGGAAGACGAGTTTTCCAGACTTCTTGTAGAGCCCTGGAGGCAAGCAGAGAGAAACACGTCCGTGGGTCCCTCCCCAGAGCTGGCTGCCACCTGTGCATTCACCATTCACAGTGCTCCGAGAAGAAATAAAAGCCACGAATCTTGGTAAAACAGTGCCTGCAACTCTGTGAGCTCGCTGTATGGTAACGTGATGATCTGTTGCCCCAGAGAGGCGTTCAACGTGAAGACGGGCCGAATGCATCAGCACGCTGCTGACACCGAGGCCGGGCATGGAGTAACACATCGCTTCCTTGAGGAGAGAGCCCACTTGCCCCGGGCCGGCCGGCTTCCTGCCAGCGGGGCCTAACCATCAACCCCTCCCCTCGCCCAGAACGAACGAACGACATCTGCAAGGAGCCGGGACGGCGGCCGGAGGGCCGCAGAGAACCGCGCCGCGGGGCCTCACCCAGGAACTGCAGCACGCTGCTGAAGCCGTTGTAGATCCACTCGAAGATGAAAGACATCTCTGACGATCGAGCGCCTGCGGGGCACAGCGGCAGCCGGGATCAGTGACGCGGCCAGGCCCGCCCCCCACTGCTCCAAGCCCTCCTTCCCCCGGTCCGGCCCTCCCTCGGCCTATTCCGGCCCGGCGCCCACCTCCGGCCGCGGCGACCCCGCTCCCGTTCCGCCGCCAGCTCCCCGCCGGAAGTGCGTCGCTCTGCGCCACGCCCGCTTCCGGTCCGCCGCGCTGGCTCCCACGTCGGCCCTGCGGCTCTACGTCACGGCGCGCCGCCACCGTGCCCCAACCGCGGCCCGCCCACCCAGCGGCCGAACCCCGCGTTCGAGTCCCGCGAGCGGCAGCGTGACGAGCATAAGGAACCTCCACCAAACACCGCCGGAGCAGCGAGCTCCCCGCTCCCTCAGAGCAGGGAAAGAAGCACGGACGCACAGAGAACAGTTCAGTAGTTTTATTTCTAATATCCAGCACGCGTACCGGGTGAGCATCCGTACGTAAAGCTGTGCAGATGCTGACAGTTACAAAACACCACGAGACCACACACAAGCAGCAGCTTTTGATTGACAAATTATGTCTTCTAGCCTCCACAAGACCCGATACACCAGGCGTCAAGGCTAGACAGGCAGTTCTAATTGGTGCAAGTCACAGGCAAGG